AATAGTATTACTACTACTACTACTACTACTACTACTACTACGACTAATACGACGACTACGACTACGACTACGACTACGACTACGACTGGGACCGCGACTACGACTACGACTACGACTACGACGACTACTACTACTACTACTGCTGCTGCTGCTGCTGCTGCTGCTGCTGCTGCTGCTGCTGCTGCTGCTACGCTGCTGCTGCTACGCTGCTACTGCTAGGCTGCTACTGCTAGGCTGCTACTGCCACGCTGCTTCTGCTACGCGGCTACTGCTGCTATCACTACCACGACAACTGCTGCTACTACCGCCACTGCTTCTGCTACTAGCACCACCACCACGACTACCACTTCATCGTACCGATGACTGAATTTACAGCTGTTGTTGCAATAGTGGTGGTAGTCGTAGTGAGCAACAAACAGGATGACGAGGGCAATACATGTTCGTTTGGCATCAAGTCTCTATACCTGTTGAGTGCCAGGCTCTCGATGCGCCCTTGGGTGCTGCTGCCAGTATCTTTCCGCAGAATCTTGGCAACCAAAGCAGAGTAGGGGCCAAGAGATCTGATTCTTCAAAATAAGGAGGTACTATAGCAGGAATCCTAAGGTTAACACAAGTAGGCGACTGTCGAAACTGCCACCTTGCACAATCGGCACGTGGAAAGCAAGCGTCTCGGGGGCAATTCCGTGACCTTGCAAATTCTGATGAAGAGAAACTTGCTGGTGAAAGTGGTTTGTCTTGGCTTTCCCTTGTGCACGGTTTCAAGGTATAGTGTCATCATGGACTAGGGGCTCAGTGTCTGGATTCACATTGGGCAATATTCTTCCGAATCGTGAAACTGGGAAGTGTCGAAGCAGCCTGGATCTGGACACTGAACTCAATCGCTAGCCGCGCTAGCGTTCCCAAACCTGACTAGCGAACTCGCGTGGCAAGGCAACGGGTCGAAAACCGCAGGACCAGGCTTCGATATTCATGCTCTTACTGTGCGGCGCAGCACCTGTGCTAAGAGTCCCATAATCGGCAGAAGTTTCAAGCCCAGCCGAAGAGCAAGGCGTGTCAGATTTAGCAGCTAGGAGATGCCTTATAGCCGCCGGTCCAAGAAGTAGATGCCATGCACAGCGCCAATACTTTCGCAATCATGTACGCTTACAATCTGGCCGAGTGCCGCCGTAACATGGCTGGGTGGCTGACTAGGCAGCTTGTCATGCCCCGATTGTCTCTGCCAAGGCCCTGCCCCTGCGACAGGAAGTGTTTGCAGGGGGTGCAGAACCCATCAAGCCATCTTAAACGGAAACCCAGACCTGTGGACCCGTTTCGCCCGCAGCACAAAAAAAGCCCACAGCTCTCAGAGATGCCTTGGCCCAGCCCCACTTCTCCATCATCTTTTTGGCGGCGTCCATGGTGACCTCCAGCAGTCAGGAGGCCCAAAGGCCTAAAGCTTGCGATGGCGAATTCGAGGACTGGCTGTGCAGCACGTAACGTTTGGGGTCTTTGCAACCAGCTCTGGAATCTCTGGAAACGGCTTTTGTCACTTGATATTCGATTCGTGTCAGTCCGCTTTCGTCAGCACGTGCCGTGCATGCCGAGGGTCTTCAAATCGAAAATTCGGCCCAGCTTGCTGGCAAACCCCCGCATCTTTGTGGGCTTTTCTAAACTGGCATACAAGCAATGATTGGCTTATGTTGAGCGCTCATGAGCTAAGGCCTTTGGACAACGAACCCGTATTTTTGAGGCTCAAGACCTGCGCGCGAGAGAGGCGTTCCTGCCAATACTGAGATCGAACCCGCTGAATGCAGACTGAGCCTACGCACAAGTTTTGCCCGCGGTGGTACAACTTCGACAGAACGCCGGCACTTCACGTAAAGCGGAGAACTTGCCCACTCGTTAAATCCATCAAGGCGCAGCGAAAGCAGCTTGAATCATTCCTCTTATGAGGCGCAGGTACTGCATCCTGTGCTGGTATGGCACGACTGCCAAGTCCAGGGTAATGTCTGAGAGACTCGTTCTGGCTTGGGTCCAAAACGCATTTCTGCCGCTAGAGGTTGTGAGTAAATTCCATGCATATGACCGGCGATCAGAAACAAAGTTATGAGTACAAGGGGAAGTGGCTGGAGGCATGACCTCGGCCAGCTTCTGTCACGGACGCTAAGCGGTGCAAGTTTCTACTCTGGACTAAAGATTTCGTGCGCCGCCAGCCTTCCATAATGCCATGCTACCAATTCTGTGTATTGACGGCGGGCGCAGTGGGTTTCACAGGCAACGCTGCCCAGCCATGCCCGTGGCTCTTCGGCCAGCAAACGCATTGTGGCTCCGTGTCGTCAGACTGACCACCTTGCCGGCGTGGGCACATCGACGCACAGTCCATGGTCATGTCTTGCGCCTTGAGCATCTTGAGCAAAACATCTTGCGCAAGAGTGGGACATTGCACTTGCGAAATCCTCCACGGCTAAGCTCAACTCTGCAGGATAACCCTGCGCCAGTGCTACAACAGACGACAAGAGCGAACTGTGATTCATGTCGGGCTGCTACAGTCTGAACTGCAACTCTGCGTCGTCTGGAATCTAGGCAGCGGAGTTTAGATTTTCAAGCTGCGCAGACAAGCACCACGTTATCTGTGACAAGCATGCAGAAAACTGAATTCCCGCCTGGCCACCAGAAGGCTGTCCCACCGTGTCGTGCACTTCTGTTATGCCAGAAATGTTACGTTTCCCTCACACTGAGTCACGGCTTGGAGCCGCTCGTCTGGCGACTTGCCTCTAGCCCTCACGTACAATGTTGTACTGACTCGCATCTAGATATCTAGGTTTAGCCCCGCACAGCGGAAAAACCGGCTGTAGATACTGCTTGCGTAGGCACCTGATTCGGCGAGGCGCGTAGGCATTTCTGGGTAGCCCATCTAGTTACTAATTATCCTTGGCAATGCTGTTGTGCCTGTGGTGCAGCGACCGGTCCAAACCAAAGCTGGATGAAACTGCTCTCTCTCACTGCTTGGATTAGCCGGGCCTAGCCTGGGAAAACAGCTGCAGACGCCTACCTTGTGCTCTGGGCAATCCTGATGCAGCAGGTTGGCCTACACGCAGGAATCAGAGTCTCAAGATAAAGCACTGCCATGCACTGCCGACGACATACAAGCCTGAGGGCTCCGAAAATTGCAAAGATGTGGCAACTCCGGAGACTTCCGCCAACAGGCGTCCAATAAGTGATGTCAGAGTTTCGACTGGAGCAAAGTTTTTCCAAGCCTTTCTCTGGGGATAACCAGTCGCGCTCGTTCCATTTACCTTCTCATACCTTCTCTTATTCTGTGATTTGTGTGATATCGAGCATCGATCTTCACGGATGACTCGATAGGAAGGTTCCTCTTGCGACCACTGGTATATACCGTTTGCCCTGCCAAACTATCAGTTATCCCACACACGGAAAACTGCTTTTGTGTCGTCGCTCTGCAGCTCGACCAAGACGGAGTGTCCGACAAACCTGGCACAATTGCACAATCTAGGGCCTGCAAGCTCAACATCACCTACTACTACTACTACTCCTCCTGCTGCTGCTGCTGCTGCTACTACTACTACTACTACTACTACTACTACTACTGCTACTACTACTACTACTACTACTACTACTACTGCTACTGCTAAGTTACTACCACTGCTACTACTACTACTACTACTACTACTACTACTACTGCTAAGTTACTAGTACTACTACTAATAATTAGAATGATATTACTCCGCCTCCTTCTACTACTACTACTGCTACTACT